AAGCAACAACAGCAACAAGCCTCGGTCGGAATCCTTGGCGGGAAATGGAATCGGGGCGACACGTCTTGCAGTCTTCCCAACGAGGCGTCGCCTTACTTCGCCGCCTCGCTCTCCGAGAGGTCGCCTCGCCTACGTGTGCCGCTCTTCAACCCCTCCCCTCCCCGCCTGTCCCCCTTTCATCATCGCCTCCCCCCTCCCCTCTCTTTTTCAGCCCCTGCGCGGTGGTGGTAATGGATATCTATGGGGCACGTACCGCGACTGTGGCGCGCGGTAACCCCGTCACCCTCCCCCTCCCCCCTCTCCACTTCGTTCCTTCCTTTCCCTCTGCTTTCCACTTAGAGCACCGTTCTGGTCCACCAGGTTGGCATCACGATTGTCAAGGTCGCATCGCGAGAAGAATTCTCGTAAGCGGCGGCCAGCGCCCAACGACACGCCGGCAGAGAGAGAGAGAGAGAGAGAGAGAGAGAGAGAGAGAGAGAGAGAGAGAGAGAGAGAGAGAGAGAGAGAGAGAGAGAGAAGAGAGAAGACTACTTTGAGGACGGCGTACGCTTAAGAGCGCAAGAGGGAGCGATGGTTGCCTACTCGGCAGGCAGCAGGCGCGCTCGTCTCTGAGGCTAGGGGGAAGTCTGCAGCGTCCTTGACCATTACTGTTGTCACACACACACACACACACACACACAAGCGCGCCACATCTGGGCAGCCACATGAGCGTCCACTTAATGTAACGAATCTCGGGCAAGACTCAGGTAATCCAATTTCCAGAGCACTGTGTGCGCCCTGCTCTCCTTTCTGTCCGCGAGTCCTGCCGGTCCGACGAACCAGACAGACGGACAGACAGACAGACAGACAGACAGGCGGACCAACGGGCGGACGGGTCCGCTGATTGGCACAACAGGTTGGCACTCCATAAGCAGGGCGCGGCAGGGCGAAGCAGGGTCGCGGCAACAAAATGCAAAAGCCCCGAATCCGACGTGGCGGCCGCGCGCCCGGGCGAAGCGAGGTCGAATGGAGCCGTCGAAAGGCGGGAAGAAAGGCGTCCCCTCACACCCACACACACACAAACAGCCTCCGTTTTTACAGCGCGCACACCACTCACGGCGACGCGTCGCGTCCCGCCCGCAGCAGTGAGAGTCAAACCAAACTTTGGGGCCAAACAAACTTTTTGTTATGGCTAGGGTAACGTATGGGCGGCATGGGTGAGCCGGGCAGGCCGAGCCGAGCACCTGCCCTGCACCCTCCAGGCTCCAGGACGACCAAGGGGGCCAGCAGAGACCACCGGGCGGGGCGCGGGGACCGCCTGGGACCGTGTGCACAGCGAGTAACAAAATGGGCAAACAGGACGGCCGGATGGCTCGATTCAGCGACTTGGCCAAAGGGGCTGTCCGCGTGCAGCGGCACAGACCCTCATCCTTTTCGTCTCCGGGCGAAAGGACCGCTGCCTCTGAAGGGGACATCCTTCCGTCGCTCTCACACTGTGGGGCGTTCCGCAAGGGCGCGAGAGAGACAGGGCGGCCATGCCCGAGGTGTTCGCGCTAACGACGTGAAGCAAGCGCGCGGCGCCGCGCAGCCCCGCTTTTAAACTACAAGCCAACATAATAAAGGGGATGTTCGTATGCAAGTCCGGTTGGGCCAGCCGCCGCAAACCGGACAACGGATACGTTTTCTTTTGTTCATGTTTTGGCGCAAGATGTAAAGAAAGCGTTCCCTGGAAAAGTATAAGGTTTCGTGAAAAAGCCTCGTGGACGCCAGGACAAAAGGAAGAAAATGGGAAGTAACGCTGAAAACGACGTCGCAACACGTGAGGACGAACGCAAAATTCACTCCACGTCGAACGCCAACTCTCACTGAGTTGGGGTAGAGCTGCTGACAAATATAAAACACCTCCGCGTTTCCACTTTAATATTCGCACGGGATGCTTAGTTCCACCCCGCTTGTGCCAAATCTGTTTCGCATCGCCAGAGGCCCGGCTCGAGGAAGAGGCAGCACTTCTGCAGAAAAAAAACATGTTGACGCCGTGTCGGCACGAGTTGGCTGTCTGTCTGCGTGTCTGCCGTGCGTCGACCTTGCGCGCAGAGCGGCGCAGAGCGGCGCAGAGGCTCAATGGGCCCGTCCTCATTGCTTCGGCCTGTTTGCCTCGGACCGCTGGGCTTTCATACGGCAGCCTCGAAAAAGGCTAGGCCCTGGAACTCCTCGATGAATGAAGAGGCAGAGGAAGCAGGGAAAGCAGACAGGCCGATGGAACGGCGAGACGTAAAGGGATGGAGCTGGCGTTAGTGATTCGCCTTGCCTAGCAGTCAATCAGAATCATCTCAGTATCTTTGAGGGGTCGAAAAGAATGCTACAAGGGTGGGGCAACACTGCAGCATCATTGCTTGTATCGTTATCCTCTCCGGCCTCTTGGTCCCCTCCCGACACCCGCCACATCCACTCCGCCATGCTAACCACTCCCACACTTGATAGTCAGCAAACACGCATGGCAGCCGCACTGTTCGGCCAGCGCTGTGTGCACTGTGAGGACTGTGTGCACTGAACGGCATTGAACCGGGCTCTGCGTGCGCCTATAGGACCACGAGACACGATAAGAGGAGATTCTGGCAAGTTTGATTAAGAACTCTGTCAACGGTCGGCAAGACTGGCACCGACAATTGTCCATCAGTGCCAGATCAGAGTGAGAGTTTCCAAAGCAGTGTACAGGACGTTACACAACTGAAACAGCCTCTGCGCTTCCAGGCGGTGGGTGACCAATACGTCAGCAGGCCTCCCATCTCTCCATCTTTCGTCCTCGACACCAACGTCCGGACTCGTCAGCTTGTCAACAAGGCCCGTGCCGTCATGATGTAGTAGTAAGGCCCCCTGCGACGCAGCCTCTTGCTTCCACCCCATCCAGCTGAGAACCCCCTTCTCTGCCCTTAAAGCCCTAAGGCCCGCTAGAGGGCTCGACCTCCAGCCTGGGCAACTCTACACTGTTTCGACCCCGTCAGCGCCGATATCTCACAGCTAATATAAAATTTAAAAGTAAGAAAATGATGTAATCTTGTTCCCCGCCGCCACCACCCCTCGCCCTCTCCTTCCGATTTTCCTTCGCATTTTTAGGCCTCTGCGTCGCTGCGACCTTCACCTCAATTTACGCCGAGTCCTCCGCTAAGCTATGTAAAGCAATTAAGAGTTGAGGACGCCTGATGCCCCCCCCCCGGTCTTTTGACTGGAGCCACCCCACCTCCACCAACCCCCGCACAGTTTGTTCCCCCACTTCCCATTCCCTTCCAATGTTTCAGATGCAGAAATGCATAAGCGATGCCGTGGCAAAGTGGACAATCGAAAACTTTGTAGCCCGTCATGTGACCGATCCGTCGTTACAGATTTTCAAACCAGAATGACACGCAAAATTTGTTTCTCGTCACTACGACTTCTTTTCTGTACATTTCATTTCCAGACTGTGCCGCCGCCGCACGGCCCGGCTCTCGCCGGTCCAACAATTAAAACCTGCCCGCCTCGCCTCACCACCTCAACTGGAACCGTTCCGCGGCGTTTTGAAGGAAAGCTCTGCGTCACCCATTAGTGAGTGAGGCCCACAAGGTGATAGTTTTGCTAGTCTCAGCACCAAGTCCCACCCACCTCTCGCACCACGATGCAAATTGTGAAGTTCACAAAGCGCCTTTGGAGCTTGCTTCACGTAGTTGCGCGGCCCCACAACAACAATGACGCTCGTCTTATCCAGTGCCGTGTCCGCCCTCTGCCAGCGTTAACGACGTGGCCGCCATAATCCACGCTTTTTGCTCCAGGCTCGTTTCAAACACTGCAGCATCAATCGCTCCGTCTCTCTCGCAGCCTTGATGCGTTCCCTCAGAGTGCGAGAGAAACAGAGAACAGTTCGGCAGCAGTCTGCTGGGTGGCTAGAACGGTGCCGGACCACGCCACAGCTTGGCGGTAACGTTCTTCCAGATCTTCATCCAAGTGCTTCTGTAGGCTTAAGGTAGCTAGCTGATGGTGGTCGGCAAAAATTACCGTTGTAATCATGAAACTGGCCAAGTCAATATATAATCGGCTCACTCGAAGCAGGAAGAAACTCCTTGTCCCCTGAACGGAACGCAGAACTGAGCAAAGAATAAGAATCAGGAGAAACAAGCAGAAGAGGGCGATGCATAATTGCAGCAGTCAAAAGGAACACGATCGAAACTCTCTCCCGTGACAGTTATCGCCACTTTTCCCTCTCGTCGTCTTTCTCCTCCTTCACTTCCCTCCTTTTTAATTCCCGCCTTTGCGCTGCCATCCACCATCGCCGTGAAATCGAAGCACCACCGTAACACGAGCCGGTATCATCCTTCTGGTCCGGCTTGGCATCGACGAGACAGCGGTGCGTAACGCCACGGTTGAAAGAGAATAATTAGCTCCAACAAGTCAGGGTTTGACTTGCAGAGGCGACTTGGGCGAGGAGAAGACGCCTGGAGTGACGTCGGCAGTTCACCAGAGCTGCGAACTCCGGCCTGTCTTCCAGGGAAGCTTCCGGCCTTCAAACTGCCCGCTTGGTCGCAGCAAACATCTGGACAAGGCCTCCAAGGGGGCAGTGGGAACCAGGCGAGGTGACTGTTGTGAGTCACACTGCGGTGGCGAGCGGAGGGACAGCGGATGTTTTGGCAGACAGTTGGAACCGGGCGGGGCGGCTGGCCGGACCCTAATTGGCCTCATAAACGCCCCAGCCCAGCCTCGAGCAGCCCCCTCCCCTAACAGAGGCAGCGCGAGGCGTCTTCCAAGGCGCCTCGGTGCCCTAAGACGCGGTAAGCGGCCTCTAGAAGTGCTCCTATCAACTCGCTACCCCACCCCGCCCGTCCTTGAAGGGCGCGGCGCCTCGATCCACTGCCTCAAGGCGCCTCAAGGTCAATGATCATGAGAGGGCGGCTGGGATGGCTTGTAGTGGGCGGCCCGCCGACGGCCTGCTCAAGCCTGCGACCTGGTGGGTTGATCCAGGTGCGGGGTCGCGTCAGAATAATCATACTACTCACCTCGAGCGCGACCAGACTGGTGGGCCCCACGGGCCCCGTGCCCGTATCAGAACATGATGACTCCACGTGGACCACAGCCTCCGCTCCCCGGGCGCAGCCGTGGCCGTGGCCGCGCGGGGAAGGGGTCTCCAGCGCACCGGATATCGTCGGCAACTGCGCATCCTGCAACGGGACACTCGGGCGCTCAATTTACGCGAGAGTAGCTCGAGAGATTCGCGGGTGTCAAAGAGCCTTGAACCTTCTCAGAAGAAGGGTGCAGACACGTCTGTTCGGAAACCGATATGGTGCGGCAATCGTGACGCAGGTTCTCGGGTAGTAAGCCTAGGTGGGCAAGTAGTGGCAGAACTGGTGTAGGGTATAAACATATTCAGCACCGCACAGCGTCTGCGTCGCCGTTCTGCCCGAGCGGCTCTGCCACTCTAGCGGCGTCTGCGTCGCCCTTCTGCCGCTCCGACGAGAAGTCTTACGACTCCCCCGCACCACATCGAATTCCAATTAGAAGAGACTGGACCCTCCTTCAAACAGGGTTCAAGGGCGCCGCGACTTGGTGGCCTCACCTGCCGGCCGTGGTCCCTGTCCCTGTGGGTGTGCCGCTTACGCCTGGCCGCGGGTGCCGCCATTATGACTCAGCCTCCGTCGGGCTGCCGTCGGGGCTGCCGTCCTGGCTGCCGTCCGGGCTTGGACAGGGCCGTGATCCGTGAGCCTGCCCGCACCACCCAGCGCCGCAGATGCTTGCCGCCCGCGCAGCATGCCGCCAGCAGACCTGCCGACAGAACACCAAAGTGGCCAATCAGTTTTACCTTCAAAAACCTTCAGGACGCGAAGGTGATAATCGGTGAAGACATTTGCTTTTCACCTTCCTAGGAACTGTGGCGATAGACGTAACTGAGTGTATGAACTAATGCGGTGATTCTCACACAAGTGGGTGGGTGGGTGTACCGGGAACTTTATTGCAGTACTCAGGAAATGTTGCGAGCCAAGTAGTGACTATAAAGTAGGATATTGGATTGGCGCTGCCAGGGGTAATGACGGACATGTATTGGAGAGGTCATGGGGCGCTGCGTCTTTTACTGCTCCCCCACCGTCGTGAATTGCAAAAGGACTCCCCACCCTTCGCTGGCCCCGACCCTTGCTCCTCGTCCTTCCAAGTACTACCTACTCCACCTTGGATATGGCCCTGACTAAGAGACTCCGCTCGGCAAGTGGCGCAGTTGGTGGAACTCGGCCCCGTTAGAGGGTTTCTCTTACCGGAAAACATTGCCGCAGATCGCGACCATCGAAGTCTTTCCTGGACCTGCACTGAGGAGGGAACGCACTGTGGTTAGGCATGAGTGGCCGGCCGTGACCGGTAAGTCCCACCGAAATTGACTCAAAGATTAATGGTTTCCACTATTGACAGGAAACATAATGTAGCCAGCATCTTGGGCAGACTTGGACAGGCCCGGCCCTACGGCGCGGCGTTGCGGGCTGAATGTTTGTCTTGGGCTGTTAAGTTGGCAGCGCGGCAACAACGATGCGGGAGGTGAGTTGGCAGCCCTGGAGAATCGGGCTGTGCAAACTATGAGTGGTGCAGAGGCAGGCCTGCCCGGCCAGTGCTAACGAGCTCCAAGCCAGCGAGGCCGGCGGGCGGCTAGTGAATCCAGGGCCTAAAGCACTGGAGCCCGGTCATGCTTGGGCCATTCCGGCTGCCAACTCCTCCACGAGACCAGTAGTACCAACCTCTACCGAAACCATCAGTCCGAAATGAAAAATAATCCTCCCTTGAAACGGGGAGATAGCGCCATGGCCTTCACCGTGGCTATCGCGACGCTGTTGCAGATAACTCGGGGCATTCTGTTTGATTTTCTCAAGTTGGCACAAAGCGAGCGCGCCTCCCGATTGCTCACCTTCCACAAGTTGGAATGCACTCGGCCTCCAGAGCCAGCCAAGGGGGCCTCCCCCATTCCGTCAACTTAAAAGCAGTTTGTCGAAGGGATTAGACGCGAACGGAGAGCCTTCATTAATAAACTTTAGGGCGAAAAACATTTTCGGGCGTGTCAGCGCGAGCGGACCGGGATTCAGGGCCCGTACACTGTACACAAGGCTCACCGAGGCCGTCCCCCTCCCCCACTACCCCCTCTTTCGCGTCACTCAGCCAATTACACAGCAACAACGGGCCGCGCCAAATCCTTCCGCTCCGAAGGAAATAACGGGAATGAAACCCCTAAATAACCAAAGCGGACTTATTGGATCTGCAGCGAGCGGAGCGCGGAGAGCGCGGGGCTAGCGGCCGATAAGACACAGCCGCCAATAAAAGGCGCGGAAAAATTCGCTCGTTCCGCCAGGATGCGCTGCTCGAGGTCGTAAACGTCCCGGCGGTCGCCAAGGGCCGCACCAAGGACCAGGGCCCCACGCAGGGCCGCGCCCACAACCGTGCCCAGGGCCGCCAAAGACGCTTTGTCGTCATATCCAGCTTTCCGACATTTGCCCGCCGTTTCCCCTTTTTTACGCCACACTCCCTCCGGCCACTGCGCGTCGCGGCGCCATGAATGGCGAGTGCGCGTTCCAGGCGTCGGAGTGACCGGGGCGGCCAAGCTGCCCTCCATTCTCATTTTGGAACGGCGGCGGTGCGGAGATCGTCGCGCTCGTCGCGTCGAAGAGACAAAAGTGGGTTGCAGCCCACAAAACACCGTCGCCCGTGTTATAAGGACGGGGGGAGCAAAAAAGGGTCCGCAAGACGGATAGGAAAAGTTTGGCGGCAGGGCGGCGGGGCAGGGCTTGCAGGTTACGGGCAGCGCGTACCTCAGGCCAGCGGGCCGGCTGCATGGGGATGGACAGTCCGCTCACGCAGTGGGGGAGGGACGGCAGCAGGGGGAGCGTGGCCCGTCTGTGTGTGAGTGTGTTGGGGCGGAGGCTGTTGGTGCGGGGGTTGTTGGGTAGATCTTATCTCCCGAACCTGACACCTAGAAATGCGCTGCTGGCCTCGCTTTCGCTTTATCTGGTCGCGTTTTTCTTCGCGGGGCCCAAGGCACAGACACTGGCCCACACAGGTGTAGTTGCGTCTCGGTAATGCCCCACGGGGCCCACCGCCGGGGCATGGGGGAACCGCATGGCGAACGGATTGCCAAAAAAGGGGCAACGGTGGTCGGGGCTGCACAGAATAACGAACGAAGCCGAGGGGGAGCAGAAAAAAGGCGACAGAAATGTTCACACACACACAACAGAGGCGGCCCCATTTTCATACCCGTGGCCTTGGGCTCCTCTCCACAAATAGGCTGAGTGCGTTTCCGTAAAGGAGCGGAAGCAGGCGACACAAAGTGAGGCAAGAAGGGGGTGGGGGTAGGATCCGCGAAAATACGCGTTGACAGTATGACAGGGCACTAACAACAGAATTCGGGTCTTTAGTATTTTGCCTGGTGACGAACGAAAGCAAGGCGCTAGAGCACAGCTGCCACAGGTTTAAAATCCGAATCTCCACAGAAGTAGCAAGTTTCGTCAGAGTTTTTAGGTGTAATCAATCATGAAAAGTTTTTCCCACCACAAATGCTACACGCGGGTATAGAGGTTTCAGTGAACAGCAAAACAAACGACGGAACACCAAGACTCGTAGCACTCTTTGCTCTTCGCGACTAACTTGTTTCCGAATGCCCCAATTAGAGCCGCCGTGTTTCACGTAATTGATCTCACAGTGGGCTGCGAGTGGCGCGCCATGGCGGGGTGAGATTGTGCGCCACTTCTTGATAATATTACGCGCTTCCCACACCTCCACGTATGCCTCCGGCTCGCTCCAGGCTTGCCTCCAGGCTTGCCTCCAGGGCCCTCAAATTACCTGTTCACACTCCAGCGCAAATTAACTGAGGCCCCTCCCCCTGCTGCTCTCTCCCTTTCTCTCTCTCCCCTTTCACTCGGCCTGCTCCATTGTTCACCCAGGAATGTGCCGGCCCGCAGCCGGCGCTGGAAGGTGATGGCCTTTCTGGGCCAGGTGCAGCTCCGGGCCAACAGCAACAATGGCGTGTGGTTGTTGTTGTTTATTTTGCGGAAACAGGCGGCAAAGTGGCCGAGCCTCGTCGTGCGATTCCTGCGCCGGAGAGCAGTGGGGGTGGCACCGGCAGCGGGTGTTTTGCAGCCTGACACACTGTGTGTGTGTGTGTGTGTGTGTGTGTGTGCGCGCCTACAGCTAGCTGGACGGGACGGGGTGGGGATGGGAGGAAGGGGGGTTGTGGTGAGAGCGGCAATATTGCTGTGTGTCGCCCTGCCCGTGACACTGCCCCATCCATTGCGGTCTACATGATTGGCCCTTGTCTTTGCTGCGTTGCCGTGGCGTTGCCGTGGCAACCAGGGCGTGGATACAAACACGCACTCTGTGAACAGCTCAGCCGGTGGAAAAGGTTGTCCTTCCGGAAGTTGAAGACGTTTGGTACGACGCGAGGGTAAAGTAAATCCTTCAGAAGAAAGGGTGCACCCCGCTCCGCTTGTTGATGACCGGAGTTGGTTTTGGTCCCGATCTTCAAAAGCAACTTACGGCTGGGACCGGTGCCAAGCTCGTTTTTGCGCCGTGTTGTCGTGCGCCTCAGTGCTGCAGCGCGAAACACCGTTTTTGTTTTTTTTTTCTTGCCGTTTTCCTATTTCAGCCCGCGCGTCCCGGTTCGAGACCCGCCCCGCCCGCGCATATGGCACTAGGCGGCGGCGGACCAACTTTTGGCCAAAAAGACAAAGCAGCGCGAGAACACACACACCTTCACGCGGGCGCGCGCCAACACACACACACACACACACACAGCCCTGTTGCTCGCGCGGCCTGGTGTGCCGTTTGGTTTATTCCGACAATGACAATACTGGTTCGTCGCTCTGCCGAATAGCGCCCCTCAGAACTCCGGCAACGACTTGGCAACTCGAACAAACTCCCGTTCACAATAACATGGTGCGGTGGCGGCGGTGGTCTCCAATCCTCGTCCCCTTCCCCCTCCTCCTCCTCCCTTTTCTTCGCCACCTTTTCACAAAACGCCACGCCACAAAACGCCCTCGGCCGCGTCCCGGATCTGTTGCACGGCACCGAGCGCGCCGAGTGGGCCGAGTGGGGCCGCTTGTCTGGCGGGGGCGGAGATCGCGCGGGCGGTGGGTGGTGTGCGGGGGCGCGACCGAGTTGGTGAACGGCGGGACCGAGAGTGTGAGAGTTTTGCCGGGAGGAAGTGTATCGGGTACCCGACATCGGAACAGTCTCAAGTCAAACTCATCGCGAGGAATCAAACGCACACCGAACAACAGTGAATAACCCTGAACAATACCCGCGACACAACAGACTCGGCCTTATCACGACAGAATGTCAGCGACCGCACTGCGAGAAAAAGTACGGGACATGTCTGGTCAACAATTTTGCCTGGAACGTCCGTACTTGTTCTACTTCGGAGCTTCTGTACTATTTTTCCGTACCCGATTACATGAGTAGTTCTTACAAGTGCGGACGTTCGTACTTTTTTCCTCACTTCCGTACTATATTCGTCTGTACAAAGTACGGAATTTTTTTTTTGCAGTGGGTGATTCTCACAACTTTGACATTCTTTCCGACAAGATACGTACGCACGCGGGATGTGTCGAAACGGCGCCGACTGCCGACTCACAAGGCTGCAGCAGAGAGACGGGCACGCCGATCGACTCAACTCACTGGGCTCGGTGCGGGACGACCCAGAGAATGTAATTCTGTTTCCGCTGCACTTGCTATCACTGACTGACTGCTGGTCCGCGGGTCGCCCGCCAAAGACCTGCACCCCCCCCCCTCCTTGTCCC